GTGGAGTTTGTTCTTTTGTTGCTAATTAGTTGTCTTTTCAATGGGAAGTCAACATTGCTTGGGGCTGTCACCCACCCATTTTATTGCCCTACTATGCAGGTTTTTTACTGAGCCTAGAGTAAATCAGAAGAGCCTTGTGTTTTGCATTGGTGAGCTCTATTTTTGCTGGAAGAAACAAGGAAATGCATTTCATTTGCCACTGGTCATGCTGTGATGACAGATAATTAGAAACTTTAATCAATCTTGTTTTGTCAGCATGACTTTCATATCAAAAAGAGGCTGTTTTTTAAAAAAAGCTACGAATAAATATAAAGTTTAGGACTGTGAAGCATCAATAATGAACTGTAATAATGTTAAGTAATGATATCACGCAACCCTTTCACCAAACCGCATGTGTATCAAATTCTTTTCCTCCACACCTCTCTGCGTTTCCATTTGCACATCATTTTCATTTATTTATTTGCCCTTCATGTCTTACAAATCAGTACTCTAACTTTCATGGACATAGTTGAGAGAGGGATTTGACAGTGTAACTTATTCCTCCTCAGATCACTTAATTTGTCACAGCATTTAACACTTTTAGGTAAATTCAAAGGGTAAATTCAAATTCTGACTTTATCATTTCCACCTTTGTGATCTTCAAGTTACCCCATCTTTTTAAGTGAAATAGCTTTCACCATCTGTAAGCGAAGGACATGTTTATCACCCTCCCAAAGTCAGAGGGGTACCTCACAGTCTCTAGTGTGCTGCCTGCTATGAAATGCTGGGACTATGCTCTTGAAAATGTCAAGTCTTTTTTGGGTTGCCTTCTCCTATTAAGAGTTCTTCTCTTCTAAAGGAGATAGATTTTCTAGCTTGGTGACTAGAATTTATTAAGAATCGGTTTCGTACTTCCTTCCACTCCCACCATTAGCAGAGAGGCATAAAGAGGAGGCTCAGTGCTAATGGAGGTGCTTTCCCAGGGGGCCTCACTCGCACACCTTCTCAGTCCACTCACTCAGACTACTGACTTCACTTATGTTGAAAGGAGAACGATACCTGCCTGCCCTTTGGAGAACATAAGAGGGTGAGACGCAAGGAAACCCGCGGTCCTGGAAGGCAGCAGAATATAGATGGCTACTGTGGCCCAATTTGAGATGCGTTGCTCTGCTTGGAAGGACTGAGAGGACTGGGCAGAAACACTAGCACTGGCAGTCATGAGAATGTGCTATGTCTGGTGTGATGAGCCTCAGCTTAGTTAAGGGACCAGCTACTAGCCAAGTGGGGCTTCATGATATATGGGAAAGAAACTTCCAGCCTACTAGATGTCCAGTATGAGTTTGAGTTCTCTAAAACTGAAGAATGAATTTTAGGAACAATTTTAGGTTAAAAGCAGAAAATATTAATTGAAAGAAAGCATCTGTCTGAGAGAGAAACAGAATGGGTCTGAGTGGGGGGCTGAGGACCCTGCCTTTTCCAGGGATATTTACAGAGGAAAACTTCAAGGTGAGGTCAAGGTGGGAAAAAGTGGTGTGCATGAGGTGGGACCAAGCTATGGTCAGTCAAAAACATTACAAGTATAATTGCTCAGGTAAAATGCATTCCATTGGGGGAAATGCGCAATCAAGTCATGTAGTAAGTGGGCATGAATATAGAACAGGGGTTCTTCTTGTAAGGGGTTGGGTTAGTGGCTCCTTCTGGCTTCCTCAGAGTGATAGAGACCTATTTAGAATATCAATCCTTGATGTTTATCCTTAGGAAGTATGTGGGTGCATTTGTTTTATATCTTTTTTTGAGATCTGGCCCACAGCAGAGTTACAAGACACCTCAGCTTCTGCACTGGCTCCTTCAAGGGCCTAGCCCTGTCTGACTGCCTATAACATTTCTGTCTAATTCAGGTGCCTGTAATATGAAGTTTCCACAGGGTTTAAGTTTTGCTAGGTTCCACTGATGATGGCACCCAAGGGCTTCCAGGGAGACAGATGTTGGATGCTGTGCACATCCTTTTTTGATTACTTCATTTTTAAAAAATTCACAGTTCTTTCTCCTCCTCCTCTTCCCTCCTCCTCCTCCTCTTCTTCTCCTGTTCTTCCTCCTCCTCTTCTCCGCCTCCTTCTCTTCTTCCTTCTCCTTTTCTCTCTCTGTCTCTCTCTTTTTGTTTCTCTCTCTCTCTCTCTCTCTCTCTCTCTCTCTCTCTCTCTCTCTCCCCCTCTCCCTCTACTGACCTACACCACTAGAGACTCAGTTGATTCCTCCTTCCTTCCCAACTTCCCAAAAGTGATTTTAGGGCAAATATGCTCCAAAGTGATGCTATTTTACTCTAGTCCACTCAGATTGCAAATATGCTGTTTGTATTACTGCCGGTAGCTAATTTGAAGGTTTTTTCCTTGGGGTTTTATTTTATTTTTCTTGGATCTTCAACTAGAAAGGAAGCACGTCTTTATTATTTAACCATTTGGCTGTCTGGCATTGACTAAGCACCTGCCATAATTGCACAAATAGCTTTGACTCAAGCCAAACACTGTGAAGAGTTGCCATGATGGTTGGATAGGTTTTTTGGAAACTTATGTTTTTAAAATAATTTGCCCACAAATCTAGAATCTGAATCATATACCAAATCAGTGAATGGCCTGAATTTCAGCTGTAGTCCCAAGTCTAATTGTCTTCACACCACAGAAATGCTCTCAAACTTGACCATGTCTGTTTCTTGCTTTGTATTCATCAGGGTATCTGGCAATATGTTTCACACGTAATTAAAACTTAATAAATCTTGATTAAGTCTTTGAATAAGGGCACTGTAGGGATGCTTTCTAAGACTCTTCATTTTAAGCTTAATTTCTCCCCTTCAGAAATGCTGGAGTTTAATATGGGAAGTAATTTAAGATCATGCTTTTGGATTTTGTTGGTAATTTTAGGACAGCTGTATGATCAGTAGGATTTGGGGGTTCGCTGAGCTGTTTGTGGCTGGATTGTTTGAATCAGCTTAGGGTCTGGCACAAATTGGTGAGATGGATGAGGCCGGGTTCAGAGTTCAAGACCCAGGGCCTTGATCTAGGCTGTGCTGATGATTTCTGAAGATTTTGGCATCATCTGGAAATCAATATTTATAGGCTCAGTGACCAGGAAGTCTGCTTAACAGATGGTGTAAACCACTGGGAGCCCCCAAAGTATTTTCAGCTGAATTGTTCTGTAGCTGAAGAGCCTTGATCTTTAATTATGTGGAGGAGTCTGTTACCATGGGTTCTTCCACCTTTCTGTCTGTGGAGTAGCCCAGATCTCAGTCTCTCTTGAGGGGCCATAAAGGCTCCATGGTGACCTCTTTACTTCCAGCTACTCTCCAGCCCCAGGAAATTCTAGAAGATGGTTGGGAACATCTTGGCCCCCCAACTTTTCCTATAACCTCCCCCAAACTGCCAAGGTATTGAAATGAAATCTACTTAACTCTTAAGACCTGTGGATACCACATTCATGGATTTAACCAACTGCAGACAGAATACTTAAAAAATTGCATATACTTAAATAATACTTAAAAAATTGTATATACACTGAATAGGGACAACTGCCCTAGCTTGTTATTACTCCACACACAATGCAGTATGATTATATAACACTTACATTGTATTATTAAAGATTATAAGTAATCTAGAGATGGTTAAAGATGGGGAGGATGTGCGTAGTATTCAAATACTATATCATTTTCTATAAGAGACTTGAGCATCAGTGGGGTTCAGAATCTGCAAGGGAATCCTAAAACAATCTGAAGTTCCACCGAATACACAGAGTATCCAATGCTTTCCTTGATACCAAGAACCTTTGGCTTGAAACTACTGTGCAGTGTCCTGATGATCTAGACTGGATCACATGGAGTTGCTCTTTCTAACTATGGGATAGACTCCAATTAACCTTTCATCCTCCAGGTCCCATTGATTGAACTTTTGGCTGTCTGTGTTCTGTTACTCTAACAGCTGTAGAAGGTCAATTTAGGGAAACAGTAGCAAATCATTGAAGAAAATAAAGAGTATTTGCTCTTGTGCTAAAAAGGAGAACAGATTGCTTATCCTAGGGCATGTTGGGGCAGGAGAGAAATGAACTCAGAAAGAGACAGAAACCCAGAGACCTCAGCATCCAGCTTTTCTTAAATTGGAGCTTCCTTTTCTTCCTCAGATTTAACAAAGAAAGGGGAGAAATTCAATTCAGAGAGAACAAGAGAAGGGAAACCTATTTTCATGTTCTGAATGGCTTTGTATTTGACCCATGAGCCTGAGGACTCCTGTGCAGGGGAAGGGCTAGGGGGTGATAGGAAAGAGTGATGAACTCTGCCCAGAGCCAGTAGTGGGTGCTGCTTCTCCTAACTGTGTAGATGAGGCAGCAGCAGAGATACCATCTTATGTCCAGCTTAGGGAGTAAGCACCATGCACAGTCTGGGAGAGCTTCTAGGTTAAAACAGAACAGAACAGAACAGAACAGAACAGAACACAACACAACACAACACAACACAACACAACACAACACAACAAAAATCACCCACTCAACAATGTGTAGGCTCTATCCTAGGTCCTGAAATGGACCTTGGGATGGAGATGTGCATTAAATATTACAGGATGACAATGCCATCATTCCAAAAAATGAGAATCATCAAAAAGACAGAGGAAACATCAATTACTATGAACCCAGAAAGGTAGACAAAGAACAGAGAAACACAAATTAATATCAAGGATGAAAGAGAATTTACCTCTTATTAGGAAAATAAGGGAAAACTATAAAATATTCCAAATCTGTTAACACCACAACTTAGAGGAAATGGACTAATTCCTAAAATAATCACTACTAAGGGGCAAGAGTTAACCAGAACTTTGAATCATTAAAAACAGTGAATTCAGAGTGCAAAGTCTCCTGAAAAAGAAATCTCCAGTACCAGAAGATTTTATTTATATAAGAAAAGTCGCAAATTTGAGCCAAAATTTCCCAGAAAATAGAAAAGAGAGAATTTTTTTCAGTTTCTTTTATGAGACCAAGATTACCTTGATACTGTTGTGGGAAACTTCCGAAGCCAAGCCAAACCAAATCGGACCACAAGGAAGACACTTTGTACCAAGGAGATAAGAAGACAGCATTTAATCTTCACACCAGTGACGGTTGGATCTTCACACCAGTGGACCATTGTGGGATAATTCCTCAAAGCAACGGAACTGAATTCAGGAAAAGTTTAGTTCACATAGAATTTAGAAGTGGGAGGTACAAAGCAAGTGACAAAACATTATGTAATTGGTTACATACTTTGAATCATATATTGACAGGCAGGCTAGTCTTGAAACAAAGGAATTTTTTTTATCATGATATAGAAACACTCAGGAACAAGGGGAAGGGACCCTTACAGAGTGAGCACAGTTAAAGGCATCGCCACAATACAGAAAAGCTCTGCTCTGGGGAGGGGCCCCACACGTGTAAGGTGAAGACAGTTACTGTGATTCAGTGCTCATCAGAGGTATCGTGGTCAACTGAATTCAGCAGAAACAGCAGAACAGAAACTTGATCAGAGACCTCTAATTGACCATGAAATATCTATAAGTCTGCTATCTTATAAATGTATTCCTACATTATAATTGTGCCCCAACAGTTTCAAAGCAGATAAAGACAGTATATAAAAAAGAAAGCTATAAATCATCATCTTTTATGACTACAGAAATGAAAACTACCAAGTCAGAACCAGTAATATATTAAAAGAGAAGTGTGCAGTATAGTGTAGTGGAATTTTTTCTTAGGAACATAAAGGTAGTTCAACATTCAAAATCCATCAGTGAAATCTACCACATTTCTAATCTAAAGAAGAAACGTCACTTGGTGTCAATTAAAAACAGTAAAAACATGTGACAAAATTCAACAACTATTCATAAAACTTTTTGCATTAATTGAGGATAGAAGAGGACTTTCTCAGTCTGATAAAAATTACAGTTTGCATCAAACTTAATGGTGGAAGACTCAGTGGGTTTTCCCTAAATTTGGGACCAAGGCAAGGGTGTGCAAACTCGCTAATCTTATTCTGCCTCTATTAGAAGTTCTTGCTAGTTCAATAAGCAAGGAAAAGAAGTAAAAGGAACACAGACTGGAAATTAATAAAAATTGTCTGTACCTGCAGATGACAGGTACAACATCTACATCTACAACAACCTCCCAGAACTAATAAATGAGATTTGTAAAATCAGTACTAAAGATTCTTATTTTTTATATATTTGAACTTCAAAAACATAGCCTAAAATAGCTCCAAAAATGAAAAGATTGAGTATACACTTAAACCACGTATAGTTGGCTTGCTGAAGTTACAACAGGCTGATGAAAGACGTCAGGTAAGACTCAGATAAAAAGAGGATGTGCTCTGCCAGGTTTCCCCCCAGTGCATCTAATCATGGAGGCTGAACAGATGGAAAGGCTGACCCTCAAGGGTGACAGAAATGGGATCCTACCTGTGTGAGATCTGAGGTGAGACATTTGTCTTCCCCAGCTCTGCGTTTGAACCGAAACTTTCACTCTTGCTGAGTCTTGAGCCAGTAGGCCTTTGGATAAAATCTTCATTCTCATTTCTTTTGCATGTGAGACCCTCAGACTTGGACTTCTTGGTGACGTAATCTGAGATCTTGGGACTTTTCAGCCTTCTAAGTGAGAATTTTGGCGTGGCTGAAAAGATAAGAAGTATGAAATATAAATGACCTTTATTTTAAGAAAGTGGGGAGGGACCCCTGACCCTCTGGGGTCTGGCATTGTCTCCAGGGTCTGGCAATCTCTCCATTAGACACGTGGAGTGGGGGGCATACATGTAGCTTAGGTTTGGGGTGGTGCCTAAGGGGCATTAGGGATGCACAGGTAGCCCATTGGTATTCATTTCGTGCCACAGGTAAATTCCTAGGGGTGGGGAAGACAGAGCCCCCTGGTTCCCAGCCTCCTCCCAGCTGCAGTGTTTGGCCTAGGGCAAGATTCTTTCACTAAGTAATAGGAGTCAGTTCTCTCCCCCCACCTCTCTCTCCATATATATATATATATATATATATATATATATATATATTCTAAAGAGATAGCATAAGGTAGTTTTTGTGTTTGATAGGCTGCTACCTGTTTGTGGTAGTGTTTATAGGAATATACACATGTTAAAATTCAAATCTTTGTTCACTCTCTACACATGCCAATTTAAAAATAAAATGAAAATACTTTGGAAATGCAGAGAAAGATATGAATAGGAGATGGGTTGAAGGCAAGGAGGAGAAGGAGGAGGAAGAAGAGGAGAGTAGCAGGCAATTATGAGGAATTAAGACTTGGATGGGGCCTTGTAGAATCACTAGGACTCCAGTAACCAGAGAAATGGAGTGTAGACTTGTATAGAGGTGTGGAGGTCCCCTGAGATGGCTCTCCAGAAAGAAGACAATTTGCATCCATTTGGTTCACTTTTACCCTGCTCCCACTTACTGATATGCACAGAGCTGGCTAGCAAAATGCTCCACCCTCTTGATTGGCTTTAAGCAATGCAAATGTCCAGCCCAGGCACTGATGCATACCTTTGAAGGAAAGCCTATAGCTCCCCACCACTGAGGTGAGCTAAATTGTCCGGGATTAAACTTCCAGAAAGAGTAAGTGAGGACCCAGGGTGGAAAAGGCCACATATTAGAAGAGAAGTGGCTGACCCAAAACACAAGATACTTCCTCAAACTTCCAGATCTGGAGCGTACCTGTTACTGGAATCCGGTACTCTTTCTGCATATTGCAGAGGTGCCATTGTGCCTCCTGCCTAACCCAGATCACAGTCACTCAACCCTGAGCCAGTTCCCTCTTCATGAATTAATAAAATGCAGGTTTGGCTCTGGGTCATGGCCTTTGTTCCACTTAGTTATTGTTTCGACTGGACTTGGACCCCCTTAACTCCCCACAACTGCAGATTTGTCTTTGTCTCTTTATTCTTGTCATGGGTTGCATCGGAAGTGGTAGACTGAAATTTACTTGTGAGAATTCCAGTAACTTTTCCCTGGGATTACAGTTTACAAACTCCTCCAGACCACAGGGAAGTCTGGCTCAGGCTCCTATGTAGAGGGGCTAGGATCTGCCAGCAGGCAGTGGCAGTACTGTGGGCACTGTGATTCCAGAAGTGTAGACAGGGAGATAGAATGCAGGATGAGGTGAGGCAGAGCCAAATTCCAACGGGCTCTGGATGTCGGGTGGTGACACCCCATTTAATGCTTCAGGAGGATTTGCAGCTACTGAATAACACTGCATGGTGATTCTAAACCAAAAATCTAGGCAAGTTGAATTCCAGGGGATTTTAGGTTTCCTGAAAGCCTCCTAGAGGGAAAAAGGATGTCTTAGCTATTCATTTATAAAATTCTTTTGTAAGTTTACAAATGAGACCCTTTATAAAATATTGTATTCACTGGGGAAATAATTCTGGGATTGATCTAAATCCTTTAGTCTCACAGTATTTATGTAAACATCTGTCTCAGCCATGGTCCCGGCAGGAAACAGATGGCTGACTCCAAAGGAGAGGCTGAGAGGAAGGCAGAGACAGGGCTATTTACACAGATGTGGGTCAGGGAAGGGAACCACAGAGGCAGCCAATGGCCTGGTTCATGGGCTGGCCCTTCCGTCAGCTCTGCAAGACTTAGTGCTATGGGAAGAGCCATCTCCCAGAGGAACACAGCGTCCCCAACTTCTGCCCAGTAGGGAAGGAGGTGGAGGGTGAATCCCGAGGTGGTCTCAGCCTGCTTGAATTGCCCAGAGGCCCAAACTCAAAGGGAGTCAGAGACCACAGTGGTGGTGTCTATAGTGACCCACCTCCTGACTGCTGGGAAGAGGGTAGAGAAGAAGGCAGGGTGTCGATGTCGCTCCCGGCCGGCAGGAAGGACACACGACAAAGTCTGGCAGTGGACAACCTTTTCTTTTATTTTCCTTCTCCGTACAGCCTGCCCTGGGATCGCTCCCAGCCGAAGCCTCCTCTGGTCCGCTCCCCGCGGCTCCTTCTAGGCTTCTACTTCCGGGCTTCTTCTTCCCCCCCAGGGGTGGCACCAGTATATATACGGATACAGTGTCCAATCATGTTAAAGTAAGCAAGGCAAGCTGATTGGCTAACATCATCAGTTGCCAGGCAGACTATATTGTTGAGCGGGTTGCTTACGCGGTAAGCAGGAAACTAACGTGCTCGATGGGAGGGGTAATCTATCTCAGGCTTTATTTTTTACTACAGGCCTCACGTCCGCCAAGTGAGGCGACCGGGCTCGGGGCTGCGGCTCCCAACAGCAGGGGATATTTGCAGAGGGGGAAATGGAGGAAAAAATGAGATCCAAAAATTTCCTGTTTGGGTTCAAGTGTCAGGTCCACTGGGAACCACAGTTTACAGTGACTGCAGGACAAGGAGTTGGAGGGAGTTAGATTTGAACTGGAGAAACTGAGTCAGATGTGGGCTGGGCTTTGTCAACTTCTATGATAGGTTGTTCAGCCATGATGAGAAATTTCCACTTATGTGACCTCCGGTAGACACAGGTGCTATGAGCATGCATTGTAATTATGTGTGGCATCATTGACAACTACAGTGGGTGTTTAAATTTTTTAAAAAATGCATTATAGTAAAAAACACATTGCCTTAGTCCTTCTTGAAATGCTGCTCCTGCTGTGAGCACATTTATCTCATTGCTCTTGCCACTCTCTGAAGCAGTTCCGGAGGTCTTCTTTAATAAGGATCTTTATTTGTGCTGCTGTGGTTGCTTGGTGTCCTAAGTTGATCCAAAACAGTTACTTTTTATGGTCACTTTGACTTTGGGTAAGAGCCAGGAGCCTACAGGGCCACGCCTGGTGAGCAAGGTGGACAAGGACAAGGGTTTCAAGCTAAGAGGCGTATTTGGAGGGTGATTAATGTCAGTGTGTCTTTTACTGTAATAAAATTTTTAAACATCCTCCATACATTTTGATCTCACCTTCTACATATGAAGGTACTTTTTAAGACCACATTAATTGCTTTTTGATAGGTTTGCGGCCCTGTTGTGCATACCTGGCACATAGAAAGGCTCTCCCTAAATACCAAAAGAATGAAGCAGCCAAGTTCAGGGCTCCAAGCCAGTGTCTCGATTCTGCTGGGGTTTTTACTTTTCAGGGAAGGCGCTGGAGGCATTGCCGGGGGACCCAGGCTTGCTGGCTCCTCTGGCTGCCTTTGTCCCACTTTATATCCATCAATCAGAGATAAGGAGAGCAGCCTGCACTAATGGGATGGAGCATCAACCACAAAGAAGTAGGAGTCATGAGAAATTATGAAGAAGGAGCCCTGGGGATCCAGACTCCTCGTGCTGTATTGTTCCTAATTAGCAGCAGAGATACTCAGGGGACCCTGGAAGACCAGCTAACGACCATTAACTCCACAAAGAACATTGCCATCACTGTCACCATGCCCGATGTTTCTCCTTTTGTCCTCGTGGGATGTTTGTTCCATTGGCAGGTTGTGATTTTGGCACAGGCTTGATGGGGTGACACCAAAAATGCCCCAAAGCTATGCCCCTCAATTGTGCTATGACTGCTAAAAATCAAACTCAATTCGAAGTGGAAAAAACCTCGGAAAGCATCAGGTCCTATTTAATTCATTCTGCGGAGAGAAAACAGGCTGAAGCAGGCTAAGTGCTCTTCGCTGAGCACCTATTAGGGGCCGGCTCTGCATGGGCACTTTGCAAACACTGCCTCTGCAAGCAGTCCCTCTTGTATTGTGTCCCTCTGTGGGGGCGATGGATCATCAAGAAGGCATACCAAGAGGCCTAGGAGACCTTTCAGTCTCTGTGCTGCTAAGCCACCTGTCCCAGAAGGACCATGCGGTTGAATTTGAAGGCCTGGGCACTGGGTCAAGTGACAAGCATCCTAGAGATCCACAACAGACCTCTTTATCAGTCAGGGAGGCCTGATTCAGAGTAGCAAGGCTGCTTCCTGGTCAAAAGTAAGGTTGCTTCAAGGGCATGGGGCTGGGCCAGTACTTGTTACTTCCTGATTAGGCTGAGCTGCTGTCTCCTCTCTCATGAATGTGGGTGCCTGTTGTTACATTTGTGGTGTACTCTTTCCCAGGGATCCTTTTCTTCTGGGGGTCAAACCCAAGGCCTTTGTGCTGGGCTACATCCCCTACCCTTTTTTATTTTGTATTTTGAGGCAAGGTCTTGTTACATTGCTCACTTGCTCACACTGGGCTCAAATTCATGATGTTCCTGCCCCTGCCTTCCAGAAAGCTAGGATTATACCACACCTGGCTTCCTATTAGTGTCACTGTCGCCATCTTATCACACAGAGCTGCCTTCAAATGTCTTTCAGTCTGTTTCCTAGTTTTCTTAGTGGTGAATCTCACATCACTGTCCTCACTCACAGTCTTTCTGCTCATTCATTCATCCATTCATTCATCCATTCACTCACTCACTCATTTTCCCTTAAATATGCTACATGCTTTGCATGCTGAGAAGAAATGTACAGCTTATCTTTTCCAAGCTAGCTTAACAGAACACAGAAGTTTCTTAGAAAGAATTTGGAATGTCTCATCTTAGCAAAGAGAAACAAGGTATTAGATCCTCCTTTTCCTTTCTCCTCCTTTCTGTCTACTGAATCGGTTTTCTCCTGTTTGCAGAATGATGGGAGATGATTCTGCCCACCTTCTGAAACACAGCCTGACTTTTTCCTTCAAAGCCTGCATTCCTAGAAAGGAAGCTGAGACTAGCCCAAATGCTATGTAATCAAATGTGGCTCACTGAGCAGTGGTAGGGGAGACAGACAAAGCTGAATGAGAAGGCTATGCATGGCTCAGGGCATCATCCATGGACTGAGATGGTGGAGGATCCCAGAGAAAAGAAGGGCTGAGCATATTGGGCCTTAGGGTAACCTTCATGGTTGCTGTTTTTGTGGAGCTTGTCTGAAAGAGAGAGGAGCCTAATCTGCTGTGCTGTGAAGGGTTCTGCACAGGAGGCTTTGCCAGGTGCCAGAATCTGAGTCAGACAAAGGGGTGTGCAGAAAGCTGCATGTAGCAAACCCCACTGGGCTTGAGTCTTGACTGCAGTAAAGGGAGAGTACGCATGTGCTCACACACATGTGTGTATGTGCATGCATGTGTACCCACGTGCATGCGTGCATGTGTGTCTATATGCTCAGCTGAAGGTTGGGATAAGGGGAATTTTCAGGCATTGGGGAAATATGCTAAACTAAAACAGCATAGAGTAGCATCACCCTTCTGGGAACCGTAGCTGGTAAAGAATAAAATGCAAAGCTATATATTGTCAAGGTTGCAGAGGGAGATTGAAAAGCTGGAAAAACTAGAATAGGAAAGTCTCATATGTGCATAAGCATGCTATATTTTATCTGTGACTGAGGGCATCTAGCAAAGAACTTTGAGGAGGGAGAAGCACCATCCAATTCACTTGTTGGGGCAATTGCTTCACTAGGGTTGCATGTTACAGGAAATTAAATCTAAAGTTAGAGAGTTGAGAAAAAAGGTACATGTCCAAGTCCTCTAACAGGCAGGAGCCAAGTGGAGACTAGATTAGCAAGGGTTCTATTAGGTAAAACCCAGGGAGTTTATCAGGGGAGAAAGTGAGGAAAGGCTGACATGACTATCAGACCATAATGCCAGGTTGCCCAAAGTCAAAGGAGAGAGAGAAGGCAGTTGGGATGACAGTGTCACTGGAGAGTGTGTATCTTTCACGACTTGAACCCCTCGTTGTCTCTTTCTACCCTGTGCTATTATTGGCAGGAAGTGTGGGTTAGACAGTGGATTTCAAGGTCCAGCATTTAGGGACCTTCGCTAATTACTTTTCCTATAGTTGGATGACTACAATGCACATTCTCATAGCTATCATAGAAATGTAAAAGTAATGATCTAGGAAGGCAACTTCATTAGACTAACCAGTCATCAGCAGTACAGCAAAAAGATATGAACAATATTGGAAGCTACACTCAACTGGAATCAGTACTTACCTGATCATCATTATAGGGTGCTCTCTACCATTGTGCAAGCTGTTCAGGGCACAACTTTATGTGAGCGGCTCAGCTTCCCACAAGGTGTGCTGCATCCCTGAATCAACAGTGCATTTGGTTCTGTGAGTGTCTCTGGCCTAGTGGTTGATATACGATAACCATTTACGAAATACATGTTGAATATAGAAGATACCATTCTTGCCAGCAAGGAGCTCATCATCTAAGGAGGAGCTGATCAGTAGAGACACAGTTAAAATATAAGCTGGCTGATGCTGACAGCAGGGATGGGACTAGGTTCCAGGGTTCACACAGCAGGTTAGTGACTGCTTGATGCTGCTCCCCAAGACAATCAGTCAAGTTCTAGACCCCAGATCAATCATGCAAGACAAGCCAGAATTTGAATATTTCTAGCTACTTGCACTTCTCTGAGGATTCAGTAATGAATCAGAGAAAACAAAACTCCCGCCCTCATGCAGAGAATACATGGAATGAGAAGTACATATGTGCTAAAAAGAAAAGAACTCAGGATAGAGGAGATAAGGAGTGTGTGTGTGTGTGTGTGTGTGTGTGTGTGTGTGTGTGTGTTTCAGAGTGGAGTTTGATTGATATTGTAGTGGAAATGGTATAGGTCTCACTACTAAGGGGACCTTGATGTTCAGATCTGAAAGAAGCAAAGGAGCAAACTTCTTCAGTGCTAACAGGAGGGGTGAGCATCCTCTGCAGAGGGATCACCCAGTGCAAACAGAATATGTGCTGGTTTGCTTCCAGAACTGTGAGGTGGCCTGTGTGCAGGGAGAAAAAACAAGGTAGGAATTGAGGTCAGATAGGAGGGGACCAGGAGGTTGGATGGCCTGGGAAAGTCACACTCAACTTGTGAGTTGGCTTTGACTCGTCCAGAGAAACCCTGGGATGATTTGGAGCAAGAATGGTGTGACCTGTCACTTTTGAAAGGACCACTCAGACTGGCAGCTTGAAGAAAGCCCACTGGGAGGTAAGGGAGAAGCGGAGAGACAAGTGTCCGGTGAAATTAGACTTCTAATTCCAAGTGAAGAGCTTAAGCCATGCTAGATTCTGAAGTGCCTTTTGAAGTGCCAACACATGATTAAATTAGGTTAAGGAGGTTTCAAGTGGTGAGTGCATTTAAAAAGAGGCAAACGATTTGAAAATTGATCATCAATTTATTGCACGTGTCCACTCTATAAAACCACAATGCTTTTCATGAAGGAA